TGTCCCAGTGTGAGGGAAGACAGAGGGTGATGTTTTCTTCCCTGCCAGAGGCTATGAAAATGTCCTTCAGGAGAACAGAAAGGCCACTTTGATCATTTTATTTACAGTGTTTCAAAATTGTGGTTTTAAACTGATGAGGATTTTGGCATTCTCTCTAATTCACATTAGTTCTTCCTCACTGTGTTTTTGTCATTATAAAAAACAATTCCCACTTAAATTAATTAAAATAAACTTAGATTGGAAAAATGGTTGGAGTTGTTTTGGACTCATTTTTTTCTAATCTATGGCTTAGCACTGCAATATTCTTCAACTGGCTTTATTTTGACACTAGGAAAAAGAAAAGCAATTACTATAATTATTTACTTCTGTTTCCGTTACTCAACCCGAGCCTTTTAGAATTATTCTAATCCCCAGTATGACTTATGGAGCTTCACTATTACCCTAAAGGCAAGTGGTACAAGGTTTATAATATTTGTGATTATCTTTCAGACTCCATGATCCTCTAAGCTATCACTTCATTGTAACTTCCCTTCTGAAAGAGTTCATTGTTATATATATATATATGTATATATAAATATACATAGAAACTGCAGCATATATGTATGTGTATATGTATGTGTGTGTGTGTAGTAAGTATCTTGATAGAAAGGTAGCTTTAGTATCTTGAATTTTCAATTTGTTGATATGAGAACTAGCTGTTTGCCATCCTCCCCTGGTCTATCAGAACCCACTTGTCTGCCCCAACCATAAGCATGGATAGAAATTTCCCCAGCTTTGTGTCTTGCGTAGGGCACACATCCGATAGTGGATGGTGAGGAAGTCACCACCAATTCATAGAGACCTGGGTTCTGATATAAGTCATTCAGGCTCTTGGAGATTCCGTTTCCTCATGTACAATAAGAGGCTGGATTAGTGCTGTGAACACTAAGAGTTCACACAGTAGGAACAGGATCAGTAGCAATCCAGGCCGATATTTATTGAACATCTACTATGTGTGTTTTACTATGGCTGGATCTGGTTAGTACCCGGTGGAGGATGGGGGAGGGGAGGCAGACTAACACATGAATAACATTGACTGGTTAATAATATGGTGAGAACTCAGTTCAAGAGAAGCAATGGGAAACTGAAAGCCTGGCAAAGCCCACAAGTTCTTTTCAATGCTTCCAAAACCTAACGAAACGCCTACATTTGCTCTGATAAGAGTAAACTGCCTAAACAAAATAGCTAGTTTCTTTATGGTAGCTGGGAGAATGTCAACTTGGTGCAGTAAGATGTGGTCTATTATGGTGATCCAGAGTCCTGGCTGGAGGTCCAAGCCATAATTCGCAGTTTTGGCACCTGTGCCCCAACAGCATTGCCACAGACCCTAAAATCAACTTTTTAATTCATGTTGCGGCACACAGATGGGTGTTATTAACAGTGAGCACCATCTGGTAGCTTTCTAGTTTAACTATTCGTTCCTGCTAACTAGATGCTGAGCTTTTTGAATTTATATGACCTCTAAACAAACGTTCATGACCTGGAACAAAAAGTTCTGGTCATCTAGTCTTGATTTTTATTAAAATGAGGAAACAGAATGTTATTTGAGAAGAATTTGTTGCATAAACCAACATTTTCCAAACATGAGGCCCAGGAAATAAAAATTGGCAAAAAGAGGTCTCCTTGGTGAAAAGGCTCCGTGTACCGCTACCAGGTGGTGGTGTTTCAAGCTCCAGAAATTTGCCTTGTTCTCCATCATGCCTGTAGCTCTCAGCACTTGGCACACAGTGGGCACTTGATTCAGTGTAATTGTAAGCATGCCCACAGACTGGCAACAGTCATGGCATTCAGTGCGGTTTTAGAGGGTTTCCAAAAGGCTAGGCAGGTGTCCAGAAGCTAGGACAAACTGCAGGATGTGTTGTCAACTGTATGGACAGAGCTAACGTGGGAATCACACCTTCTAAAGCTCTGTTTTGTGAATTAAAATCTCTGCAGACACAACTTTAGGCATGATTGTCCCATGTGAATGGTCAATCAGAATGGCATTTCTGATCATATCTTCCGATGTTATTAATATTGTTTCTTGGTTACTCCTATTTTTTATTTTTGGGGATATGCCCAGGTGTATAGATTTTTTTTTCCTTTTTTTAAGAAATGGAAATCTATCGTAGGGCCACTGGGGCAGACCAGAACAGCCAACATTGGCCCAGGTAAATGTTGGGGAAGACTGGGCTGGTTCTGCAATGCCCTGGTTAATTCCTTGTTGCTTTGGGTTAGGCAGACAGGCAGAGGAATCCACAAATACTACGTATTAACATTTTTTAAAAATCCTTCTTCTTCTTTTGCTTTAATTCAACTCGTGAAGTTCTCCAGGAGATGCTCTCTCTATGTCTTATCTTTTTTTCTAGTCTTCTAACCTTTGTACTTCATGTATCTTCACATTCCTTTCTTACTAAACAGTATCATCCACTTTGTTGGTTTGGATGTTAGAAAAAAATAGGAAAAGATGTTTATATAGAGCCATTCAGAGTGTATAGAAGAAATAAACATGTTTTGAACTTGGAGTATTTGAAATTGCATGAATAGGGAAGAAAAATTTTGATGTTAAAGTCAAGCCTTAGAATTAGATCTGGAATTATTATGAGTTCTTTGTTAAAATAGTTTTTAAGAATGTGTAATGGAAACGTTAAAGTAGTTTAATTTTAAGCTACAATAAAAGATGACTACTTTTAAAAGGTTAACATATTTCGATAACTAGCTACAAAGGTAAATATAACATGATAGACTAAGGGATAAATTTTAATATAGAATGTGTTCTTACAAACAGATAGGAAGAAAATTTCAACTACCTATAGGCAAAGGACATAAGTAAATACCTCTGTAAGTTGATCACCCAAGGAACCGTAACAAACTGGTCAGCATACAGAGGTGATCAACATAAGGAACTAGGCCTGCTGTACTGGTATGTACATGTGGCGTCCCATCTATGGAATTAGGTCAACTTTAAGGAGGTGGTCAATGTGGGGAGGTGGTCAGCTGTGGAGGTTCTATTGTCATGTAAAAGAAGAAATACAAACCACTAATACCCTGTGAAAAAAAGTACACCTTTAGTGGCACTCAAATAAATTCAGATTCAAGCAATGAAATCTGATTTTTGTTTAGACACTGGCAAAGATTTTTTTGAAAATTTTTTGTTAGGAGTTTTTAAAAAGTGCTTCTCTTTCAACTCACTAAACCTGCTTTATTCAGCAATACTTAGTTAGCTTAAATTTTTTTGTTAAGTTTGGAAAATATAAAGAAGAACCTGGACTATAAGGAATGGCTCTTATCCATGAAGAGGGGAATGATTGAATAAATTGTGTCATAAACGCATTACAAAAGATAATGAAGGTCTTAGAAGAAGGATTTTGATTGCTATGTACTGACCAGAAAGATGATTATGATATGTAATAAGTAGGAAAAATATATAAGATATATCAACATCTTGCCAGTTTTATAGAAAGCAAGCAAAAATTTGTTATGCATGCATGTGTTTATATAAGTTTCCACAAACTACAGTAGAAGCCACACACTATTGGAAATGGTGGTAATATCGGAGGGCAAAGAATATGTGTGTTGCTATGGTTTTCTTCCTTTTTCTTTTTCTCATTGTTGGGGATTCAATGAGGGTCCAAAGAGGTAGGTTACATTGATTGCACTTTTTTATTTTTTTCTTTAATTTTTAACTTATAATTATTTAAAAAGAAAAGCATCAGGAAATATTTTTGTGAACCTCCAATATGCCCTTGGTTTCTAGTTATTAGAAACTAAATTTTGAGTGCCAGACTAAATATATGTTAAGAAAATAATTGGATAACTACACACTCATTTAAAAGGGTATATTATTAAGTATTTATAATAGTGAAATACTGAAGGGCAGTTACATGTCCAATGGAGAAATTTGGTTGGGTAAATAATGGTATTTCATGCAGTCAAATGCTCAACAGCAAGCCATTAAATGACAACATGGAAAGGCTCACAAGATATTGTAGTGTGAAAAGGGGGATAACATGGATAGAAAACATTCTAGAAGTTTATAGACCCTTCTCCCCAAAGGATGTTGTGGTTGTCATTGTTGTTTAGCAGGCCCAGGCCAGGTTCAAACCACCAGCCCTGGTGCATGTGGCTAGTGCTACAGTTGCCGAGCCTCTTTTTAATTATTAAACATGGTTTCTTGAGAACAAAATATGTGGCTTTACACAACATCATAAATTGGTTAGTGCAGCTCATGAAGAGAGAAATCAAAAGTTCTTTGTGATTTAAGATGCTTAGCATTGAATTTAATGAACACAACACTGAGGATTTACATCTAATGAAAGTGAAGTTGTTCATCATCCTCAAGCCAACAGCCATCACATAGACCCACTACAGGTGCTTCATAACTCTACGTGGAGCAGTGGCTCCCACTCTGCCCTTGTCTGGGGAAATACCACCTCTCCACTGATTTTTCCTCTTCTAAGCAAATGCTGCCATTTCCCTCACATTGTGAAGACCCTCGGCTATCCCCACGAGGGCCTCCAGGGCCAATAAACTTGGCCTTGTCATGATGCATGGAATCTTCCATCTCCATATTTCTTGGTTTATGAGGTTGACCTTCCTTTTAACATTTTTCTGGAAGAATGAACAGTTTATCCTCAGAGAGATGCACATGCACAGATAACTCTAGGAGTGGGCGGAGAGAGATCCGGCAAACACACCCCTTTATCAGCCAGTTACACTCAATCTCCCAAAATATTATTGTTGAAAAGGAAATCCAGGAGGCTTTGGAGTGTTACTTGCTCCCGTGTCTGAAGAAGCCTGTCTTGTCCTTCCTCCATGTTTTCTTGGTTCCATGGTCACAGGCGAGCATTTGGCTGGCAGGAAGTAGAGGTGGCTGAGGATGGTTGTGTGTTTGCTTGCTTCTATTTTCAGGTTTATTGTGCGTTTTCAGTGGGCCTATGCTATTACCCAGTAATGAAGTGTGTTTGTTGTTCTATCCCCAGAATGTCGAGTGGTGAAGTCCACTTCTTACACCAAAATAGCTTCATCGTCCCGCCGGAGCACCACCAAGAGCCCAGGACCCTCCAGGCGCAGCAAGTCCCCCGCCTCAACCAGCTCAGGTAAAGGCAGCAGCAGAGACTCTGTGGAAACTGCCTTGTTTCTGGTGCAGGATGAGCAGAGGGTGTGTGAAGCTCAGAGCGTGAGGTTTTTAAGATAGTGTAGGTTCCGGTTGATAATTTTAGAACATGTTAGAACGGCTGAACAGATTTGCTGGAGTCTAGCATGTTGGCTGCAAGAAAAAGCATTGAGCTTGGAAAAAAACCTGCTTGGTGAAGACTCAGGAAACCCAGATTTGCCCACAAATAGAAGCACATTACCATTTTTTATCATTTCTACCATGGAAGTTAGTCTTTCAGGCTCTAAAAGTTTCTGTTAAGGCACTTATTCCACCTGGGACTGGGTTATGAAAAATTTCTGATGTGTATTTGTTGAACCTTTGTTTAACGCACTTTTGGCTGTGCTCTCAATTTCCTTTCATGGCTCTGGAGCTAAAAGCAGTGAGACTGAGATTAGAGGGCAAGGATCAGTGCAGTAGTGACCTTGGCCTGAGTCTGCCTCTGGGTGGGCTCTAGAGCTGGTGTTGGAGCAGGCTGGGTACTCACAAGATGAGCTCAGTGTGTGCAGACCTGCCTTCTCCTTCTTTGGTCATAAAACTGACATGAGTCAGTCGGGTGTCTTATGTGTATGTTTGGTCTTAGGTATAAGGTCAGTGTCACTATTGAAGGGAATTCATTAAAGGATATAAATTATTGAGCTGGAATTGTCAAAGGTTGCAAATGTCAATGTGATTATTGCCTGATTTCATGAAGACAGAGACTTTGGGTGCCTACTTGGAGGGCTCCCTGGACTCACTAGTGTGGCTCAGGTATGGAAAGAGATGTAGGCTGTGGCTGGCTAAGAAGGAATACGCCAGTAGGTGCATCATTACAAATCATTACATAGCTAGACCACCCAGCCCAACCTGGATCTCCAAGAGTTGCCTTCTCCTTGGGGGTTTTACAAATGCTTCTGTTTCTGAGACAGGTATTAAAAGACCCCCTTCTCCTCCAACACTCACTGTAAGGTGGCGGTGGTGGGCTGTTACTGCCCCCTTCCCACAGCACAGTCCGCATCACTGCTGGTCAAGGACTAAGTCTCAGAGCACAGCTGACCCTCAGGATGCAGCTTGTTTGCTCCTCAAGTTCGAGGGTTTGCCTGAGAACTCCTCCATTCCTGCGGCGTCACTCACCGAGATTGGGCGTAACCCTAAAATGAGTCTTTGCTGAAGGGGTAGGTACCAAGACTCCAAATGTAGAGTGCATGAAAGTCACTTGAGAACTTGGTAAAGTTCGTCATCCTGAACCCCAGGCCCTCAGATGCTAAGTGTGTACACCTGTGTTCTAGCAAGTACTCCAGATGGATGTGGTCAGGTAGTCCATGGCTCACATTTTGAGAAGCAGCAGGGGAGTGCAAAGGTTCTCAGACTAATGGCATCACCGTCACTGGGCTGTGTGTCAGAACTGTGAAGTCTTGAGCCCCTCCCAGACCCACTGAATTGGAAACTCTGGAGCTGGGTCCCAGCACTCTGAGTTTTCCTAATTCCTCCAGGTGATTCTGATGCACACCCAAGTTTGAGAACCACTGGGTTATGGATAACAGAAAGGAAGTTAAGTACAGAAAGTCATTTGGCTCTGGATAACCTGGAGGGGAAAATATAACTTGCTCATCTTCATTTATTGGCAAGACAGAAATGACTTCCTTTCCACCTCCTTGGTTGCCTCTCAGTGACAATGTCCATCTTTAACCCTCATATGGGAGCAGACTTCTAGATGCCTTGAAGGGTAGACCAAGTGAGCAATGAGCAAAGGGAGTACCACACGTCAACTCCATCTTGCTACCTTTTTGCCCTCATTTGGCCTCAGAGATTAGTCACTTGAGAGAAGAGACTGTCTAGAGATCATCTCTTTTGTGGAGTATTGGGGAAAGTCCTACCCTCCAGACAGATACCACACACCACAGAGATGAGGACCTCCAGAAAATGGCAGAGTGACCTTGGAAGTGCTACATGTAAAACTCCCTTGGAAGACCTAAACTTGCTCATTAACCAGCTGATGGGTGAAAATTGAGCTCTCTGGAGGGTGCACAGCCATGACCAAAGAACATTCCTCATTGTCTCAGATTGAACCTGGGATGTAGGATGAACCCTCATGGAGCAGTAAGGGAGAACCAGGTCATGGGCCTAGCCAGCATGTTCCCCCTAAAATTTCAACTGTTTAATAATCCTGGAAGGCTATGAAGGGGAAAGAGGTCCTACATTAACTGAAGCATTATCAATACTACTCAAAATTATAAATATTTTTTAAAAAATTAGTTCCCAATCTAAATAAATTTTGACATTGGCAAATTTTACTTAATCATTCCTCTCAGCATGTACTATAAGTAAAACAATCAGATGTGAGGGGATACATTCAATAGGGAGTGGCTAGCCAAGTTCTTCTGTCTCTTAAATTACAGATATCCCAAGAGAATCAATGTGCACTGTAGATCTTAAATTTTTACTGTTACTGTTTTTAGCAGTTTTATTTTTTAGAGCTGTAGGCAGTTAGCAACTGCTGGGTTTAGGTGACACTTTTTTTTTTGAGAGACAGAATCTCTGTCACCCTGCATAGAGTGTCATGGTATCATAGCTCACAGCGACCTCAAACTCTTGAGCTCAGGTGATCCTCCTGCCTCAGCCTCTCAAGTAGCTGGGACTACAGGCAACCAACACAGTGCTCAGCTAGTTCTTCCATTTTTGGTAGAGATGGGGTCTCGTTCTTAGTCAGGTTGGTCTTAAGCTCCTGAGCTCAAGCAATCCACCTGCCTTGGCCTCTCAGAATGCTGGGATTACAGGAATAAGCCACACAGCGCCTGGCCTATACTGTTTTCTTAATATCAAAAGTAGTAGAAGAAACCCATGTTTGCCTCCATTGAAGGGTTTTTTGTTTGTTTGTTTTACTGAAATCCTTAAAACTTACAAATTTCAAAATTCAGACTTCTTAGATTCCTTAGAAAACCAGTGGAGTTTAATAAATCTATGTGTTTGCTTTAGTTTTAATTCCCATTTAGATAGATAGCTAACTTTTTCTCATAGAATGCCACCCTTTATTTACAATCTCTGTCTAGAGAAGCAATGGCAGACATAATTGAGCTCCTTGTGGGAGTTTTACACCCATCAATTCAAGCACGAGCTAATATACTTTCTTGCCCGTTAGAAACACATAGGAGAAAGTAGAAACACTCATGGCAGCAGTCATTCATTTATTCAATATTCATTAGGAACCCACCATGGACCAGCAGTTCTGGGAGATAGAAATGTCAGGATGAGCATCTGAAAGTGAAAAGCCAAGTGCCTTAGCTAACTTCTACCATGATTAAAGCACCATTGTGCACTCCCTAGGCTTAAAGCCTATTTCTGTGTGACTCTAGAAACCCTAAAGTCTCTCTCTCTCTCTTTTTTTTTTCAGTTATATAAAGATAGTTTATGCAGCATATGCAGATAAGTCAAGAATCAAAACTGCAAAAGAAAGAAGATTTCTGTCAGCTCACTAGTCCAGTTTGTCAAATTCTTTTAATTGGAATCAAACACCTCCAAAGAAAGATTGATAGCTATTAATTCTTAGCTCAGAGTTTTCCTTTGGTGTAGATAATTCAGCCTTATACTTTCTGTGGAGCATCTTTTTGGATTTGAGGGTTCCAGGGAATTGTTGAGAACAAAATGCATCAGGAGCACCGCAAAGGTTGATGGTTGGTCCCTGTGGTTGTAGCATTTCTTGCTGCATATAAGGTCAGCCCTCCTTCCATTCTCTTTGTTTGAACCCACCAAACCCCCAGCAGGACCTCCAAAGATACTCTTCAAAGGTTTGAGCTGTTATCTTGACTTACTGTCTCCTCCGGGACAGCACCCTACACCAACTGTTGTGTAAATTTCTCAATGTTAATGCCCCAGGTTAATTAGATATTTCCTAAGTAGCTCCTGTGTTCCACACATGTATTAGGTTCCAAGGATAGAAAGATGATTAAACTATAGTCCTTGCCTTCAAGTTGTGAATATTCTAGTTAGGAGACAAACGTACATAGTCATGTGCCACTTAACAAGGGGGATATATTCTAGGCCAGGCTCACACCTGTAATCCTAGCACTCTGGGAGGCTGAGGCAGGTGGATTGCCTGAGCTCAGGAGTTCAAAACCAGCTGTGCAAGAGTGAGACTGCATCTTTAAAAATAGCCAGCTGTTGTAGTGGGCACCTGTAATCCCAGCTATTTGGGAGGCTGAGGCAAGAGGATCACTTGAGCGCAAGAGTTTGAGGTTGCTGTGAGCTATGATGTCATAGCACTCTACCCAGGGTGACGGAGTGAGTCTCAAAAACAAAATAAAACAAAACAAAGCAATGGGGATATATTCTGAGAAATGTGTCATAAGGTGACTCCCTTATTAATAGTGCCGATGTCATAAGTGCACTTTCATAACCCTGATGGGATAGCCCACTGTGCACCCTGGCTGTGTGGGATAGCCTGTTGCTCCTCAGCTGCACACCTGTATACACAATGTTACTGCACTGAATATTGGAGGCAGTTGTAACAATGGTCAGTATTTGTGCATCTAAACATATTTGAATGTGGAAACTGAGAAGAAGCAAGCGCTCCATCTCATTAATAGAGTCAGAGAACACTTCCAAGAGAAAAGGATTTACAAGTTGGGACTTGAAGAATCCTGTCACCTATGAAAGACCAGGAGGACATTCCCTCCCAGTGTGAGTTGAGACACAAAGATGTGCAGGAACATGGTGTATTTTGGGAACAGTTACTAGTTCAGTAAAAATGCAGAACAGAATTCTAGGAAAGGGTTGGAGAAGATGGTAGCAGCCCAGTTGGATGTGGTCAGATCGCACTGGGCCGTGGAAGTATAAGATCAAAGGGGATTATTTTCAAGGGCAGTGAGAGATCACAGTTGAATTTTACTAAGAGTGGCATAGTGAGTGATAGAAAAGATGGCCACACATGAAAAGCCAAGGGCCAGGATGGCTTGGCAAGGCTGCTGC